ATGCAGCTTGTCACGCTGGCCACGTGACCCGGAAGTGTCTGCGGACAGCGCTGGCCCCCGGCCTCTTTAAGTGAGATGGGCGCACAACCCCAGAGTCTGTCAAGACTGGCCCGTACGGGCAGGGGTACCTTTACCTTTACCTTAAGCTGCCCATAGTGGTCATGTGAAAGATGGAACAAACTTGTTCTCTCCTGTTTTGGAGGGCAAGACTGGAACCAATGTTTTTTTAGCCCAAGACAACAGGTCTCCGGAGGGACGCGGGTGGCGCTGTGGATTAAACCACAGAGCCTAGGACTTGCCGATCAGAAGGTCGGCAGTTCAAATCCTCATTATGGGGTGAGCTCCCGTGCAAGTAGATAAAAAGGTACCGTTCCGGCGGGAAGGTAAACGGCGTTTCCGTGTGCTGCTCTGGTTTGCCAGAAGCGTCTTAGTCATGCTGGCCACATGACCCGGAAGCTGTATGCCGGCTCCCTCGGCCAATAAAGCGAGATGAGCGCCGCAACTCCAGAGTTCATCACAACTGGACCTCATGGTCAGGGGCCCCATTACCTTTAACAGCTCTCCAGGGCCTCAGAGAGGGTGTCTTTCCCAGCCCTACCTGCGAGACAACAGGATTTGAACCTAGGACCTTCCACAAGAAAAATGTGCTCTTCCACTAAGCTACTGCCTCTTCCTCTAAAAATAAAGCAAGATTCTAGTCCTCATTTTTGTTGTTTAGTCGTTTAGTCGTGTCCGACTCTTCATGACCCCATGGTCCAGAGCACGCCAGGCACTTCTGCCTTCCACTGCCTCCCGCAGTTTGGTCAGACTCATGTTTGTAGCTTCGAGAACACTGTCCAACTATCTCGTCCTCTGTTGCCCCTTCTCCTTGTGCTCTCCATCTTTCCCAACTGTGTAGTAATATTGATTAATAATAATAGCCAAGTCTCACCAGGCATTCATATCTAGGGAAGGAACTCCATAACTGGGCTGCCACCATGCAGATGGTGCCTTCTGCCAGGTCCATCGAGGTCAGTCTTGCCTCCACTGACTGGCAGTGGCTCTGCAAGGTCTTCCCAACCATACCTGCAGATGTCCTGGCCAGGGATGATGGGAGCTGTAGTCTTAAGCAAACAGAGGGCACCAGGTTGGCAAGGCTGACAGCGTGTGTCCCAATCTGAAGTTCTTTGCCAGCGTGTTAAAAAGGGATAAAGTTAGAACTAGCAACCAGACTTTTAGGAGGTCTCTTCACGGAATCAAGTCCCGCTTGCTAAATCAGAACTCCTGTCCATTTAGGGCAGAGGAGGATTTTCTCCCAATTCAAAAATGACAAGGAAGCCTATGAATGAAAAATGTTGCAGTATGAATACCACAACTTACTAGGTACGTGTGTGTTTGTGTGTAATCAAAAGCATGGGAAGCAATCCAGAAGTATTTGCTGCTACTTGAGAAAACATTCAGCAATTGAAAAGACCTGGAGACATTTTTTTAAAAAAAATAAAGATCACGTGATCACTGAGTCATTTCCAGGAAGGGAAACTCCCAGTGACTGAAAACTGAAAAAGCGAAACTTAACCTGGGTCTTCAGCGCGAGGGAGCCATGGCTGCTGCGGGGGGTCACATCCAGCGTCTCCGTGATGAAGCCACTTGCTCCATCTGCCTGGATTACTTCAAGGATCCAGTGACCATCCCAGAGTGTGGGCACAACTTCTGCCGATCCTGCCTGGTCCTGTTCTGGGGGGAATCGGAGGCGGAGGCTTCCTGCCCCCAGTGCAGAAAACCAGTTCAGAGAAGGAGCCTCATCCGCAATCGGCAACTGGCTAATGTGGTGGAAATAGTGAAGAATCTCAGCCTTCAAGAGGGAAAGGAGGAAGGAGGGAAAGGAGGAGTTTGTGAGAAGCACCAGGAGCCCCTCAAGCTCTTTTGCAAGGAGGATGAAGCCCCCATTTGCTTGGTGTGCGACAAATCAAAGGGGCACAAAGAGCACGAGGTGATTCCTCTGGAGGAGGCTTTGGAGGAATACAAGGTAGGAGATCCCTGGATCTGGAGGGGGAGAAATAAATCGCTGTGGATTCTTCTTGGGAGGTTTTCTTTTTACTTCTCAGGTCCAAAGTAGACATGGCATTGATTGGTCGTTGTTTATCGCCTTGGAAGCAGCCCAGGGGAAGCCTGAGGGCTCCTGGGATGGCTGGAGGGGGGAGCTGAAGTCTTTCTCTCTGCCAGGGGGACAAGGGGATCTTGAAATACTCACAGCAGCTTCAAAGATTTGAACTGGGACCGGCTGAAATGACTTGCAGAATCCGAGATTTGGGAGAAGAAACGATGGAAGAGGACTGGAAGAAATTTAAGGACTATTTACAAAAATACCATAAGTTGTATGAATGTTAAAAAACTGCACGATTTGGAAATTTTAGCTTCAGCAATTAGATTTGGTGAAACAGGAAACTAAGTTATATGTGAGAAAAGGTTGAATTTTTAAAATAATAACATGGTGGATTTAAGGTATAAGTAATTGAAAGGAAAAAAATATTTTAAATTTAAAAATATAATATTTGAAAGGTACAAAATAAGACATGAAACAAGGTAATAATTTGCTGACATCTTTATTGTAAAGAACGCATGATGGGGAAGATGTGAGGAAGTCCGGTTGGTTATGTTAAAAAGTTTATGAAAATTGGATTTTTTTCTTCTCTTTTTTCTTTCTTTTTCTGTTTTATTTCTTTTTTACGGTTTTTATATTGTTGAATGTGTATTTGAAAATGCAATAAAATATTTTTCAAAAAAAAAAAAAAAAGATTTGAACTGGGACCTTGGCAGGGAGAGAAAGGGTTGACCTCATCCACATCCCCCAGCAAGGTTGCTTTGTACATATTAGAAATGTACAGTAGAAATGTAAATGGCACATACACAACTAAGTACATATCTCCTTTGGTTACCAGGATGCTTCCTCAATGCCCTGCAAAACAGAGAGCAGCAAGGGATCAGCTGGGGGTGGGGGGTGGGGCAGGGACTGTTAGCCAGGAATTGACCAGATGGTGCAGGATCCCACCCCCCAAGTATCTGTTGGAAGCAGGTTTGGGAGTTGGGAGTGGAAGCACCTACTGGTGGCTTATTCTGGGGGGGCTGTGGAGCCTGCGTGATGAGGTTTCAGCGGGGGGGGGGGGCTGAGGAACTCCTCCCACCCCAAATAGCAAAGGACTCCGTGGTCCAGAGTAGCATCTGCAAGGATAAGGGGGAAAGATGACTTTTTCATGGCAACTCGGAATTGGAGCTGTGCAATTATATACTATATATAGTGCCTTTTAATCCTTTTTTTAAAAAATCACTTGTTCTACTACAGTGGTGCCAAAATGCTCCTGTGCCATGCAGTGCTACTAATGCCACGAAATAGTAATAATAGTGAAAAAAAGCTGGTCCCTTTGAACTGGCGGGAGGACCAGACAGCAATCTTCTGATCAAAGGAGCTACTTGGGTGGATTCTGGCTGCAGCAAGAACTTCTCTGGCCCAAAAATGGAAGAAGCTGCAGCACTTAAATCTCCCCTGGTGGTCCAAGCACACTTGGGGTCTGGCTACTGTAGAGAAAATAACTGACAAATAGCAGAAAACCAGAATTGCCATCTGACCCAAAAGAGGGGTTTGGAATGGGTGAAGTTTTGAGACGCTCTGGTCTATCCCTGCATCTCTCGCCTCTTGGGCTGACCGCACTATCTCTTTGACGCTTGACTGGTACATCCCAGGTTGGATCCTGCCTTAGCCCTTCCTTCTCCTCCTCCTCCTCTTCCCACTTCTCCCTGAGACCTCAAGGTGAGAAGTCAGGCTGGGACCCCCAAGGAAGGGAGAGGAGGCTGAGAGATCACTCCACAAGGGAGGGTGTTTGAGAAAAGGTGAGGGGCTGCCAGCTCTGCAAGCAAGGGGGGACCTAACTGGGATCCTGAGCCCCATAGGGGTGCTGAAGATAGAAGGTAGCTGATCCATGGAGCCGTGGGCCCAGAATCGCTGAAAACCTCTGTACTTTTATTTCCACCAGGAAACTACGGTACTTTGCTGTTATAGCAAGGCCACTGGATGCAAGAAGCCATTATGATTTTAATTTCTCTGTGTGTCTCAATCAAAGCTGAATTTTTCCTTTTCTCTTTAGGGAGAGATCTGTCACCACCTGGAGATTCTGAGGAAAGAGAGAGAGGAAATTCTGGCCTATCAAGCAGATCTGGGCAAGGAAAGCAAAGACCTCCTGGTAAGTGTCTCTGTTGTTACTAGACAGGGAACAAGCACTTGAGACCTCCAGGTATAGGGCAGTATATAAATTCAATAGAGAAGAAGAAGAAGAAGAAGAAGAAGAAGAAGAAGAAGAAGAAGAAGAAGAATTGAGTCAGGACTGAGAAGTGATGGGGAAATCTGTCCATTTCAGCTTCTCCTCATTTCTCCTTTTTCCATATCAGTCTGTTATGAATCAGATGTTAGGGTAGCTACCTCCTTGTATAAATATTTTGATCTGTACCTTACCCTCATAAATACATTTTTGTGACTATTACCTGGCTGGGTCAAGCTTGAAAATATAAGAATTTTAAAGCTCTGTTTTGGTCTCCATATTTTTTCAGCAAGAGCAAATTAGGCAAGTTCACCTTTGAATGCAGCTAAATTGAGTTTAATTCCCCTTGTCATTTATTATGTGAATAGCAGTCAAGGAGAAGCCTGAGGACTTGTGAGCTGAAAGGGTGGAAGCATTTCAATCCAAATCCTGATTTACCATAAATTCTACTAAAGATTTGTCTTTCTAAATGTGCTCCTTGTTCATTTTAAGCAAACTTAGGCCATTTTGAACCTTTAAAGAAAACAGGGGAGCTATGGGGATGAACTCTGCACTTTGTTCTCCTCTGTTTCTGTTCCTTCCTACACCCCAGTCTAAACTGAGGGGTGTTTTATGTCCCTGGATGTTCTCTGAACAGCTTAGAACTCTGGTTATGCCATGCCCCAAAACATGCAGGGAAAATCCATGGCTAGGAAAAAAGAGCTCCTTCCTTTAGGCTGTATCCGTCTGCAAAATAGAAGTCAACAGAAACAGCAATGGAGAGGGCCTCCCCTCAAAATAAAGGTTTACTTCTTTAGCCACTGGAGGTTTCATGTCTATGAAAATCAGAAGTGTCCACCCTGTTTAATTCTCATAATTTTCTTTCTGCTGTTTTGAGGCTAAGCACCAAACACACTCAGACCTCCTCTTTTCTTGCAGAAATTAACAGAAACAGAGAGGCTGAAGATTGTGGAGAAGTTCAGAGAACTGCGCCAGTTCCTGGAAGAACAAGAAAAGGGTCTCCTGACTCATGTGGAAGAGGTGGAGAAGGAGATTGCAGGGAGAAGGGATGAGCAGCTGGCCAGACTCTCCAGAAAACTCTCCTCTCTTGAGAGGATCATCCAGGAGATGGAGGAGAAGCGTCAGCAGCCAGCGAGTGAACTCCTGCAGGTAAGACGGTGGCAGGAACAGCCCAAGGCTCCAGGAAAAGGCTGCCTCCAATCCTTCATGTGTCTCTTTCATGTATACAAGAAGTGCAGGGGTTCAGATGATGGAGCCTCCAGTCAGGTATGTAATGGACAGGAAGACCCAAGAGACCTGGGATGCTTAACTCACTGAATGCAGACTAGAGATTCTTCTGTGTTCTTGATGGAACAGGAGGTGATTTTCTGCTCTTTGCTGAAGATTTGTCTCCAAATTCCTTCTTCTTGGCAATGCTGCCTTCCTGCCCTGGGCTGGGCTTCAGCGAGGATTCAGGCCTCCTTCTGACATGAGGCAGTCTCTTGACCAAGCTTCTTTTCCACTTCCCTCCACAACTTCTTGGTTGAGCCCCATCCCCATAGATCCAGATCAGCCCAAAATGGTGCTCAGTCACAGTGACGAAAGAACAAGACAGAGGGACTCATCCTGTCCCACCCCTTTCCTCAAGGAAAACCTGCTCTCTACTGCTGAATGAGAGCAAACCTCAGCCAGGTTTTCTCCGGATTGACGTTTGCTTAGATGTTGAACTAAGGAGCCGGTTTTCCCTGAGGGAAAGCGGCAGGGCAAAGGCAAAACCTCTTGGACCCGTGTTTTCTGGGCACAGGAAAAGCAGAAGTGTGGAGGAGCCCAAAGAAACATGGAGCTGTTTTATTACCCCTTTGGAGGCATTTTATGCTGCAGGTGCTTTTTTATTTCTAGTTGGAAAGTAGAATGTGAAATTTGGGGACCTTCTGTGGAAGACAATTTGGGACAGTTCCCTGGTAGGATTATCCTGTAGGCTTCCTTACGTCTGAATTGCACAGTGCGAACTGGATTAAAGT